TGAGACCTGAGTGAGGCAGGGCCGAGGGCTTTCTGGTCACTTGGTAACACTCAGCTCAGAGCTGACATGAATCAGGGAACACTGGGTGAATGATTCTGTTAAATGGCTTGGGAGGTGGGTGGTGATACGTGGGAATGAGAATTTTCTGGGAGGATATTTAAATGTATCCAGTGGGAAGTAATCAGCCCTGGGAAGGCCCTGGGACACACCTGTCCCAGGGAGGCTTTTCAACCTGCTCGTGAAAACTGAGGGAGGTAAATACTTTAAAAACACAGGAATTATTTGTTTTTTTCAAAACCAGAAACGAAGCCAGGCCAGGATTACATTTCAATCCAAACACAGACAAGCACAGGCAGATATCAGATGTTCACCTGTGCACAACATGGTCCACGTGCTTCCATATATACACAAGAACACACACATGCACACACACACAGACATCCATACACTTATACGTAGTCACCCACTTGTGCTTCCATACAGTCATGCTCCAGGTTGGACACAAAATACACTGTGGACATCCCCCAAACACGATCTCCCAAAACATGGGTACTTAAGCTACGCACACAGAGGCAGAGACTGGTGAGCATTCAGGCACACCTGTCTAGAAACACACCCCATATTAGCTGCTCACACAAATGTGCACATGCAGACATTAACTGGATACCCACTTATTACACACAAACACATAGCCCACAAAGACTGGTGCATAATAAGTTAATCAACATAAACATGAACATACTGAAACATACATGCACACACCCAGAAAGACATACATAAAGATAAACATGACAGAGGCATCTGGGAGACTCCACTGAACAACACAATACAACATACAGCTAGCCAGAGCACACAGAAAGCCTACCTCACAGAGCACCATCATGTGGAAGGTCCATTTCCCATCCATGGGGTTAAAGCTTGGCTGTATGGAGAAAAGGATGGGGAGGGAGAGTGGGAGGTGTCTATAAAATCTCTGTCTCACTTCCCCTTTTCCCAAAGGAAAATCTTTGGGAATTTTGGGCTAGAGAATGTAAAAGCCAGGATAGGGCTGAGAGAAATTACCATTCATATCTTTTAAAACTTTTATTGTACCTTTTAAAAAAATAAATACCTTTATTTCTTTTTATGTGGTGGTGAGGATTGAATCCAGTGCTTCACATGTACCAGGCAAGGGCTCCACCATTGAGCCACAACCCCAGCCCTCCCATCCATATATTTTATTTTACAGATTAATAAGGTCTAATAACAACCAGCAAATAACATAGTCAATATTTATTGAGCATTTTCTGCTTTGCACTAAATGTGCACTAACTCATATGTTCCTTAACCAAACAGTCTGAGAGGCAGGTGCTCTCCCTGACCCCACAAGGCTCCATGGAGTCACCTGTTCAAAGTCACTCAACAAAGACAGAAGTTAGGATTCCAACCTAGGCCTTCACTTTGTTCTTCATAATCCATCAAGGTAGGAATTCATGTGTGCAGAAAGGGAAACTCTCTGGGGCAAGGGGAAGGCATTTTCCTGGGATTCACCACTAGCTCACTCACTTGCCACTCCCACGTGACTTCAGACATGAATCCTTTAGCTCGTGGATATCAGCAAGAGCAAACACACTTGACTGACCTCTCCCCAAATCCTGCTCCCATTCGGACACTCCCATCCCTTCCCTGGACAGCTCAGGAAAGCCTGTTTGAACATTCATAACGCTTCCCTCATCCCCCCGGTCAACTTCATTGAGGAACAAATTCTCCAAACATCTCCCTCTCTTCTAAAATAAAACAGGGGGTGGGTAGGGGATAGGAGAGGTCCAGGCCTGGGGCCAGCCCAGGTGCAGCCCGGTAATCAGGATTAGAGGGACTGGATACTGCCACAGTCTGGCTGGGCACAAATCACGAGCCACTCAAGCAGGAACAAACTTTATTTCCAAACTCCACCAGCACACTCCCCGGGAACTCTCCAAAACGCCACCCACGCAGCTCCTCCAGCCACACACCACACACCAACCGGAACTCCCACCACCGGAACTTCACCAACCAACTCAAACTCTTCAGGAATTCCCACGAGAGCTCAACCGGAACTCAACGGGAACTCCGCGAGAACTCAAAAGTCATCATCTTAATAGCTCACTGGCATCACCTCTTCTGGCAAAAATGCATGTGTCATCCTGACTCAGCTGTGGCCCTGAACAGGATACCTGACAAGCCCGTGCTAATCCTTTTCCTCACCTCTTCCCCCTCCAATATCAACAAACAACTTTTTTTTCTCTCTGCTTTGTTCCAGAGTCCAGTGGCCTAAAAGAGATAGAGCAAAATGTCAGTCCTGGAGTGCCAACCTCGCCCACCTTCATTTGTCCTGTGGGAGGGCAAATCTGGAAGGTACAACCACCAAGGCCTGCCCTGCGCCCTGCTGGCACCCCACCCAGGGTTTAGCTGAAGCCAATCCCAAACCCACATAGGAGCAGTCTGAGCACCTACCTAACACAATGTCAGAATCTGCAGGGCCAAACCTCAGAGCCTCGATGGTTGGTCACCTACCCTTTCTCCTCCCTGAAGCCAACTCCATGACCACCTGGGTACCAGAAGAGGTTCTGATCTTCTTTTGTTGTCCAGTTCAATGACAACTTCTTTTCCACTCTGGTGTTTATCGGGGGGCAAACTCAATGCCAACCCGACGCCTCCCCATTTAGCACCTACCAGATACTGGTATCTGAACCTGCAAGTATAATCCATGTGCCCACTGCTGATGCCAGTCTCAGCACCCACCTTCTGCCACACCTGGTCCTCATCTGGCCCCAGGGTGGGCTGGGTCAGGCAAGGAAGAGAGAAGTGGGGAGAGTTCAAAGCCCAGTTCTATCACTTATCACCCAGGTGCCCTCAGTGAGTTGGGTGATGAGGGACCTCACTGTCAGAAAGATTTAAAGATCCTGCAAACACAGACTCCATCTTCTCGGAGAACAACAAGATCACCAAGGGTGACAGTCCTTATTGTTAAAGAAAAGTGTCAATGAGGGAAGGGCAGTAGGGCCACTCGTCCCTTCTCTGCCCCCAACCTCAGCATCACAGGGCCCACACTGGACCTGACCCAAATGTCCAGTTCCTTCTGGCTGCTAACAGTAGTCCCTGACAAACCAGGAATCACTCCTAAAAAAGACTGAATGCATCGCCAAATAGGATCTTCTACATCCCAAATATTCCCCATCCACTAAACAAAATCCAGAAAGGGGAAATGGAGAAGCAAAGCGGACAGGGAGGAGTTTAGGGCCTTTGGCCTCAGGTTTCTCATGTGATTGCTCCATGTTCATCCTGCATCTGTCCTCGGTGCACCTTATGTGAAATGGGAAGCATGCATATTAGTAACAATAACCATAGAAATGATCCAGTAAACCCCGTGGGCTTCCCCAGGACCAAGGTGGGAACCCAGTGGGGCTGTCTGTACATGAGGACCCAGGAAACTGTCAGCATGTGCCACCATGTTCTTGTTGTCATGACTTTCTCAAGGTCTGAGCAGAGTCTCTGTCCACTGTGACTGTGAGTTACTCCTCTCTAGTTCTGTGCAAAGTCCCGCTGAAATGTGACTCTGGTCTTCTACCCAGTTCCCAGCCACACATGGGCCCTGGAGGAGCTAATTCTGTTTTGCCCATCCTGGCCCCACTTGAGGTTCCCATGATGAGACTGAGTGTCAAGGGCCAGCACACAGGAAAGTTAGGTCAGATTCACGGCACTGTCTTTCCTTATCCCATCCCTTCTCCCTTCCCTGCATTCCCCTTCAGCTGTTCCACTGAGCTTTCTTCTACTTTTTTATCCCCTTACCCCACTCTACTGGATTAGGTTCAGCAGAGAAAACATCCTACCTTTGAATTTTGGAGACTGGCTTATTTCACTTAGCATGATAGTCTCCAGTTCCATCCGGCAAGTGCCATAAAGTAATTCTTCCTTATGGCTGAGTAATACTCCATTGTGTATATGTACCACATTTTCTTTGTCCATTCATCTATTGAAGGGCACCTAGGTTGGTTCCATAGCTTGGCCATTGTGAATTTTGCTGCTATCAACATTAATGTGGCTGAGTCATGGTAGTATGGTGATATTAAATCTTTTGGATATAGACTAAGGAGTGGGGTCATATGGTGGTTCCATCACTAGTTATTATGTATTATATATGAATATACCACAGTGAATCTCACCATCATGTACATTCATAAGACACTAATTAAAAAATCTATAAGTAAATACAGAAAGATTAGTAGAGTAAAGGGAAGGGAACAGGTGGAGAGGGGAATGGAGGGAAAGAGGAAGGATTGGGGATTGAACTAGAGCAGATTATATTCCATGTTTGTATAACTGTGTAAAATGAATCTTAATGTTATGGATAACTAGAAAGAACCAATGAGACAGACAGACAGACAGACAGACAGACAGACACACACACACACACACACACACACACACACAGCCATCAGGTCAACAACTGGGCTCAAGTGCTCACTCCAGAATCCTGTGGGAATTCCCTCTCAGGAACTCCACTCCAAGCTCTGGGGCCTTCTCACTCCAAGCCATGCACATCTAGAACCCTTCAACCTATGTCCCCCCTCACTAAAATACCCCCAAGTCCACAGCCACACATCCAGACGATTTCACTGGAATAAGAAGATCCTTTCCTTCTGAGACCTTGAAATTTGCACCTATAGGACCCTTGTAACTCTGCAACCCTACACCTGAAGCTCAGAAGCTCTGGTATGCAAATATCCCAGAGTGTTCGATTCTCAAATTTATTTACTGACCCCACACCTCTGCAATCCTTAGTCCTGGGGTGCTTCCTCCTCAGGTGTCACAAATCCAGTCCAGAAGTCTACCCTGCTAATCTGCCCCCTCCTCCTTGCTTTCTGGCTGTGTTCCAAACTAGGTATGTACCTGGTGGAGGGTGCAGTTGGAAGGAGACAAGATACAATTATGTAACCAGGACCAAAGGCCAGACATTGATCTCAGCAGTATAAAGATAGACCATCCCAGCCGTCACTACCAGTTTGTCCTACTCTCTGCCACCATGCTGGCCTCAGGGCTGCTGCTGGTGGCTTTGCTGGCCTGCCTGAGTGTAATGGTGTTGATGTCTGTCTGGAGACAGAGGAAGCTCGGGGGGAAGCTGCCTCCCGGGCCCACTCCACTGCCCTTCATCGGGAACTACCTGCAGCTGGACACGGAGCAGATGTACAACTGCCTCATGAAGGTGCCACCTTCCAGGGAGATGGGTGAAATGGGGTGGGCACAGGGACTTCCCAGTTTCATCAGGGCTTTGTGGCAGAGGATTGAACCTGAGGAGCTGGAGTCCTAGGACAGGAGAATTCTGAGTGTTGGGAAGCCAGGACCTAGCCAGGAAAGACAGACCTCGGGATCATCTGAGTGTCAGACACTGGGGAAAAGACATCCCAATCTCTGACACGAGGGAGCTGAACCATTTCAGAGAACGGGCCCTCTAACCACTCCCATGTCCCCCATCAGCTGAGCAAGCGCTATGGCCCCGTGTTCACCGTCCACCTGGGGACTCGCCGGGTCGTGGTGCTGTGTGGCTACGATGCAGTGAAGGAGGCCCTGGTGGATCAGGCTGAGGAGTTCAGCGGGCGAGGGGAGAATGCCACCTTTGACTGGCTCTTCAAAGGCTACGGTAAGTGGGACAGCACCTGGTGGCCTCAGTTTCCCCAGGCTGCCCCAAGTCAGCTGCCCTCGAGGTTGTGCAGAGCCTCTGTCTGGTCTTCTCTGCGTCCCTGTTCACTGTTCCTCTCCCTGTGTTGGACTCTGGCCTGTCTTAAACCTCCCATGTCCCAGTCTGTCCCTGCTTCTCTCTACCTGTCGCCCTGTTCTCTTCTTTCCCTGGATGGATCCATCTCTTGGCTCCTCGATTTTGTCACCTCAGCTTCTGTGCTCCCCATGACTCTTTCTCTCCTTCCCTCCCCCCTTCTTCTTCATCAGCCACAACCTCACAGTGACTCTTCAAAATCCCCATCTCCACCCTCTGCTGAGAGTCTCTCCTCTCTCCAGACCTCTTCTCTTCTCTCCCTGTGTTTTGTCTCTTCCAATTGAGAAGCCTTCACACTTTATATTTCCTCAATCTCACTCTGTCCCTCTGCCCCTCGTGTCTCTGTATCCGCATTTTCTGCATCTGTCTTATCCACATTTCTTTTCTCCAGATTTTTCTCCTTCCAAGTTTGGATCCGTGCCTGCCTTTTTGTGAAGCGCCCAGCTCAGAGCCTATGGTCCCCTGCTCCCTGCCTCTCTGTGCAACCCTCTACCTTTTGAGATCCCTCTTAGGGGTGCTCTGTGGCCCGCTGGCCCCCTCCCTTGTTGATGACTTCCTCCCGCCACTGCACTCACCTCTAGGCGTAGTGTTCAGCAATGGGGAGCGCGCCAAGCAGCTGAGGCGCTTCTCTATCACCACCCTGCGGGACTTCGGAGTGGGCAAGCGCGGGATCGAGGAGCGCATCCAGGAGGAGGCGGGCTTCCTCATCCAGGCATTCCGGGAGACCTGCGGTGAGCCAGGAGCCCCAGAGCAGGCCAGAAGGAAAAGGAAATCCCTGACATTGTGTAGCGGAATGGGGTCTTAGGTGGGGAAAGGGTGTGTGTGGCTGCAGTCTGTGGCATGGACCTGGCAATCTCCTTGGCTCAGATTCTGGGACTAGCCTAAGACACCCTCCTTGGCTCTATTCCAATCCCGGTCTATCACTCCCACCTTCTCCCCAGGCGCCTTCATAGATCCTACTTTCTACATGAGCCGAACAGTCTCCAATGTCATTAGCTCCATTGTCTTTGGTGACCGATTTGACTATGAGGACAAAGAGTTCCTGTCACTGTTGCGCATGATTCAGGGAAGCTTCCAGTTCTCAGCTACCTCCACCGGGCAGGTAACTTGTTCCAGCTTGGCTCCACCCCTGCCACCACAGTGGCCAACTGCCACACCCCCACCCCCACAGGGCAACCCGTGTCCCAAACTGCCATCCCCCTCCATTCATAAAACCAGCCCCCATTATTCGATAACTGAACAGCTGCATTAAAATTCAGAACAAGTGACAAGTGTCCAATATTTGGTTTCCAAGAATACCTGTATACCTCAACAGATGTCCCCAAACAGAGCCTGCAGTAATCACAAATGCCTTCAATCAGCTGAGATGTTCCCAGCCCAATTTGCCTTCATCTCTAGCAGAGCCTCCCTAACCTACCTCTCTGAATATTTTAATACCTGGACAAATGACCACTTCAGTTCCCTCCTGGGTGCCTGAATACTGGTGCTGCAAAATCCAGGCCACCAACACCGTTTCACCTCTATCACGGTGTCCCACAGGTGCTCCCTACTCTGCCCACTGAATTACCTGAACACTTGAATCAGGCACCACAACCAAGACTCCAAATATTGGGCACTGAATGTTCCCTAAACACCCAAATAAGCATCCTCCAACACAACTCACTCACACACCTAAAGGAGTCCCTCTGTGCAGCCCATTGGATACCTAAACAGGGGAATAGTCAACCCCCTCACTTTGCCACCTGAACACCAGCATTTAATGTCAGAACACCTGGTTAGAAGCTCCCACTCCAGTAAGTATATGCACAGCTGTCTGCAGCTGAGGTTGCCTGAATGCCCAAACACCTAATAGATGCCCCTCCATAAAGTCCCACCTGAAAATCTCAACAAATATGTCTCCCAACCCAACCTCACCTGAATATCTGCAACCTACATGTATGCTCCAATCATCTCCCCTAAATTCTTAGACAGTTGCCCTCCTACTTAACCCACAGGAACACTTTATGCTGCCTTCCAGCCCCACCCAAACACTGGAAACCCGGATAGCTGTCCTGAACCCGTGCCTTTTTCACCTGGAGACAGGTCCTACTCCCACTGGGTGCTGCGCACTGACAGCTGTCTGGTCTTTGCTTTCTCTTTCCACAACCGCCAGCTCTATGAGATGTTCTACTCGGTGATGAAGCACCTGCCAGGACCTCAGCAACAGGCCTTTAAGGAGCTGCAGGGCCTCGAGGACTTCGTGGCCAGGAAGGTGGAGCAGAACCAGCGCACTCTGGACCCCAACTCCCCGCGGGACTTCATCGACTCCTTTCTCATCCGCATG